ACTGAAAAATCATTTTTCTTATCATTTGTGGTGCCATCTCTGAAGAACACTCCGGTGCTTCCTCTTCACTGTTTCACCACGGCTGGCCAGTACAAATAGCACTGCAGCTTGCACCGCACCAGCATCCTTTCCTCGAAGAATTTGGGTTCTCGATGGGGCAGAACACTTGGGACATTTTCACTTGGGACATCTGCCAGAGGTGAGAGTGTAGGGAGGCTCTCCAAGGAAACTCTCTTGGAAGACATCCCCAGAGGGTTCCAGCCTTTCATCTTCCTCAAAGTCAGGGGCTTTATTCCCAGCCAGGTGTGAGGGATCCTGGTTTTCCTCCTTTCTACCACAGCCTGGTTGATGGGGGAGCATGCTATCCCCGTCTGATGGTGAATCCCCCATTCCTGCAAAAACTCACAGAACGCCTTGGAAGTATAGGTTGGGCCATTCTCTGTTTTGATGGTACTGGGGGACCCCCAAGGCTGCGAATGCTTGCATCAGATGACTCTTTGCATATTTAGCCTTTTGTCCTCTGTGGGCTGAGGTGAAGACTGCCCTGGAGGAAGTGTCCATTGATACACGTACATGTTGGTATATGCCAAATGCCTTCACGTGTGTTATGTCAGTCTGCCATGCCTCACAACTGTGGAGTCCTCTAGGGTTTGCTCCAGAACCCACAGTTGGTAACAAGGACTTATGACATTCGGGACAATCAGCCACAATCGCTTTGGCCTGGTCATGCCGTAGGTGGAATTGGCGGACCAGACCTGGGGCATCCTGGTGGGGAACAGTTGATGACTCAGCTTGGCCTGTTGGACGATGTTCAGTTGGCCAGCTAGCTGTAACGGGGCGGCCAGAGCATCTGCCCTGCGATTGCCCTCCGCAATAAAACCAGGGAGGTCAGTGTGTGATCTCACGTGCATTACATGAAAGGGTTGCTCTCGGTGGGAAACCAGATAAATTAATTTTGAAAGCAAGCCAAAAATTACCAGATTGGAAACCTCTTTGAGCACTGCATGCTCTGCTCTGGACACTTCACCTGCAACATAAGCTGAATCGGTAATAATATTGATGGGTTCTGGGAATGTCTTGGAGGCTCTGACGACTGTGTCCAACTCAGCAACTTGTGGAGAACCCTCCACAACCTTAACATCAGCTTCCCACTGCTGAGTTTGGGGGTCCTTCCAAGTCATTACTGACTTGTGGGACCCTCCGGATGCATCAATAAAAATGGTCAGCGCCTTCAAGGGTTCATTACTTTGGATACTTTTTGTTTATGGCCACGATGATTTCTGTTTTCCAGGCCCGGCACCCCAACCCTGTCACCGTGGGAACAGGAAGGCAGGGCATGGGAAACAGGAAGATGGCTGGCAGGGTCCTGGAGGGTGGAGCCCTGAGCCGGGGTGATGTATGTAGAGGGTGGTGCATCACAGGAAAAGGGGTGGGAGCAGGTGACGCAGCCTCAAGGGGTGGTGCTGTGGGTGGAGCAGCATAGTAATTCTTGGGAGGGGCTTGACTCGTCACCGCAAAGGAAGAGGAGGGGTCAGGGAAAGGAAGAGTAGGATGTAGGGGAAGGGATAAAAATGGATTCTGGGGACGACAGCTGCCCGCCACGTGGTGACGGCCATCTTGTGAGGGTAGGGTTGGCGCGAATGAGCAGCCATTTTGTGGCAAAGAGCAGCCATCTTGTGGCATCTCTCCTGAGGGACTAAGGAAAGGGTTTGGTAGGTCAAGGAAAGGGTTTGGGGGAACAGAAACTCCTTGCAAACAACCAGGACTAATAACTGGGTGAGAGGGAGCAGGAGAAGGGTTGGGGAGAGTGTCTCTGACAGTGTGGCCAGCACTGTCAGAGCGAGGGCACCGAGGGGTCCTGGGGGAGCCAGGGAGAAGGTGGCAGCCCTGGGGCTGCTGTGAACGATCTGCTCCCTGCGCCTGCTGCGGCGGTCTGCTCCCCCTTGTCCACCCAGTCTAGGGGAAATGGGAGTAGGAGAGTGTGTCAGGGAAAGGGGTCTAGGGAGAACTGGGGACTTTGCAGATGGATCACGTTCATCATCCTGCCTGTTTTTGCTAATACCATTATCTTTAACTACTTCTCAAATTAAAACAAATAACTTCATGTAGCCATCTTTCACTGAAGGGTCACCCCTCCTGGTGCCCTCAGTTAAAGCTAGCCCAACACCGCTCCAAAAATCTTTATCTCTCACACTATGAACCAAAAGAGTCGGAAAATGAAGAAAGATCCACCTAACAGATTTTTTAACTAAACCCTTAGAAAAATCTCCAACCCCCTCCCTCAGGGAACAACCTTCCCGCAGGACTCCTACAACTTGGACATAAATCTCCTTTTGTTGGGTGGATAGCCTAATGCCCATCCTGTCCTCCCAGCTTGCAATCCCACCCACCTACTGCAGGAAATGAAAAATGACAAAGAAGGGTCTAGAATGCCAGTGGCGGCAGACCGCTCACTCTGCACGTGGTGTGTCCCCTACCTCAGGAGCACGGCTGCCAAACGTCCCCTACCTCGGGACACCCAAGGAGCCCCCCTGGCCGGGTCTGTCCCCCGCCACCAAGGAGACTCACTGAAACCGCTGACGTCCAGAAAATGAGCTGCAGCAGGGGTTCTCTGATCCGGAGACATCCTTCTGGGCATTGAAGGGAAGATTGTGTCTCCTTTCCCTGGGAGCACCACTGGACAAAAGTCAGCGTGCTCACACAGAGGTGATGGTGCTGCCAAAACTGTAAATCCACAGCCTGATGGCCGCTGGAACAGTCTTTTCGTGAGGCTAATCCCCATGGAGGCAGCAGTGTCCACGACAACGCCCCTCACAGTGACGCGAGAAGCGTTTGGAAGAGCCCCATGTTAGCGCGCCAACTGTAACACCTTCTCCACAGTCACAGGAACTCTCTGTGCCGGCTAGCAGTTCCCTGTGGTGACTGGAAGGGGCTGCGGGTGTGGCTGCCCCTGGCTCTCTAGTGAGACCACCAAGTGGCAGTGAGTGCAGCGGCGCGGGTGATGCTGCACAAAGGTAACACTAGGATCCAAGGCAAAGGAGCAAAGCAGCGGACGCCTGTATGAGATCTAAGGAGGATTTATTCTCCCAAACCAGGACAGGGACAGATGTCTCAGAAGCTGGGGGCCGGCTAGGGCTTATAAAGGGTGTGGGTGTGAGGGGGTGTGAACATAAGGCAACCAATAGGAGTGGATTACATGAGGATTACATCACAGGCTAGGACCAATAGCAAAGCATAGGGAGGGAAAACCTTTCCTGGACCAACTGGTAACATAAGCAGGGGTGACTGACAACGAACATTCAAGAACTGGGGGTGGTTACAGTGACTGACAGGAAAAGCGGGTAGTACAACTTGGCTTGGCCGGGCTATTTTGAGGCACAAAGGGTGGGATAAAGAGATTGGCAGGCAAGTGGCGGGAAAACTTTGGGGTAAACAACTCGGGGGAAACCATTCTGAGGGGGAGAAATAGCAGGTACAAGAAACATACCAACAGAACTTATCTAACAATAGATTCCTAACTTACACAACAAACCATCGCAAATCTCCACAAAACCCACACCACCACATCAGGAATCTGCTGTTTACTAAATTCCAAAATATGCTATGAAAACAACAGCCTGTTATGATAAAAACTCTCAAAATGCAAAACTGTGAGGACATCTCCAGAAAGAGGAACTTTATTTTCCATATTTTATGCTACTTTATTTAACACAGGTGTTTTCAACAAGTCCTTAAGAAGTGACAGTAATGATTTTGCAAAACTTTTGCAAGACAGGTTGGATATTTCTCTGGTCAATGATGTTACTTTGGAAATAATTTGAGTTGTAAATGTTGATACTGCATATATAATTTCATTTGTTTTAAAATGTAATGTTATATGTTAAATATATAAACTAAATAGTCTTAACAAGGAAGTTGCATGCATGTAAAATTAAATTTATTACTGCAGTGTAATTTTTAATTTTACAAGCAATGTCTAGAAAAAAGAGTAAGAACTATTGACAAGTTCCATAGAGACAGCATCTGCCTTGGTAATCTATGTTGATCTAATGATCTAAGAAGGCACACTGGTCTTTTACATGTACATTCTTAAACAAAAATTATACAGCTCTAATTTTAAATAGCTTGGATCCTTTATAAACAGAGACCAGTATGTTACTAAATGTGAACAAAAAAGTCACATACTGTAAAGACATATTTTTTCCAGATTGCAGGAAACCCCTTTTCCCATAATACTTTCAGATGAAAAGAAGATTTGGTGAAGGTCAGGCTAAGGTTAGGACTGATCACAACGTTCTAAGTCAAATTTGGGGGTGGGGGTCTGCTATCATTGTCCGTCTCACTGGTGCATGGATTGCATTTGACTCATCACACTATCCACCTTGTTTTCAGCAGGCACTGATGGCACAGGAGAAGAAATGAGAAGCAGGGCACAATGAAAGTAAGGTGGCTTTCCAAAAGAAGTAAACTGCCAAAGGTATTAATTTTTCCTAACACTGCCTCTCCAAATTAGCAGCTGTGTGTGGTTGCTGTAGGGACAGCATGCATTCAGGAGCCCAGGAGACAGTGACTGTCTAGTTCCCAAGAGCCCAGAGGTGCCACAGTCTGGTGGGAGAATGGAATGGAGGCACAAAACTCCTTGACAAAGACGTGTGCTGTGTCGTTGTTGGTAAGGAGCTGTGTTAGAACATTTCTCACAAGCTGGGGGTTACACACTTCACTGTGCCAGGACCAGAGCACTCAGTGTTCAGGGGACACCTCACAGGGGTGTGTAACACCACTTAATTCCTGTCAAACCTACACCTATGATGTTAAAAATAACAAGGGCTTCAGAAAGGACTATTGCTAAATTAACTTTTAAGAAATGCTACAAAGTTTCTACAGAAAATACTGGACTATTTTTTAATGAGTCATGACAGTCTGCTGAGGAACTAAAATATATTTTGTTTTCACAACAGCACCTAGATACCATCCTGATTCTTAAACAGTCAGGGCACATATTTGGATGAAGAGCAATCATAGTTGCATAGGGTATAATAGTGTTTTCTGATAAAGGAAAAATACCTTTTTTTTTTTCTTTTCTTCATTCTAATGTTCTTCAAGAATGATTCTCCTTCCAACAGTTTGATTTCAACAGAAAAGGTACTTTTTCTTTGGCTTGTTGGGCTCCCCCAGACCCCAGAAGGAAGGTAAGTCTACCTCTTTTTGAGTCATTAAATCTTTCTTTGAAATTTTTCTAATGGCCATGCCAAAGCTAAAAATGGATTAGGTTATTTACCTCTTATTTGGAAAAAAAAAAAAAAAAAAAATTAGGCCACAATTTTCTCTACCCTAAAACTTGTTGTGCTAATCTGCATTCTGTAACCATATTATCTATTACCCTGAACATAGGTAAGGAATCTGGAAACTCTCTTCAGATGGTCAGCAGAAATATCTCCTGTTATAGAAGAATAAAGAATTAATGCAGACAGTGAAACTCTGTGCCCTTGCTTCAGCAAACAGCAGCAGTGATGGAACCAATCTATTCCTGTAGCCATGAATCATTTCAAAAGTCAAACTGCTTTTGCTAGGTAGGAGGAAAGAAACAGTTCCTATTCCAGGGAAGGGTCTGAGCTGAGGGTCAGGAGTCTCTTCTGCTTCCTCCACACTTTTCCAGAGTCAGACCCTGACACAAGGTACAGTCTGAGCCTGTCCCAGCCTCCAGATGCAGAAGGAATGAAATAACACCAGATAAAATGTAACACGGGTCATCAATTTTAACAAGTTCAGAATAACACCACCAGAGGAGACTGAAGACAAAAATTTAAACTATATACAGAAGGACTGACAAAAGACTACAGGGGAAAAAAACCAAAAATCCTGAAACTGTATTACATAAGAAAAAGTTTGACATATGTACATATTTTGCTTCCAAAAGTCAGAGGTGTTAAAAATCAGAAGAACCCTTCTGATATCTGAATTTTATGAAATTTAATTATTATTTCTTAAAGGCAGAAATTATTTCATTTTATTGTTAAAGCATTACTAGTGCTGTTTACTCAATACATAAACATTGGTCTGCTTGAAGTAGCATAGCAACTTTATGCATAAAAGCTTTGATCTCTCAGTGATTGCACTTAATATTACATCTACTCAACTGCAAAGGCAGCCTCCCCAGAGCTTTCTTAGGTGTTTTCAGTCAGAGAATATTTTGGGTCAAATTGAGTAATGCAGATTTAGAAGACTGGAATTTTAGTTCACAAAAAATGCTTGAAGCCACAAAATATAGTAATTTTCAGGCAAATGGTGACTGTGTGCTTTCTTCACATCCTTCAGAGAGAAATGTCTTTGTTTAAATCAGCCTGAATTTATTATTTGGGCATTACTCTGAACACTGCATTTCCCCATCACACCTCAAATTGATAACCTGTCTGACCCTTTGTTTCAGCTGATGAACTTCAAGCGGTGCTTCACTTCTTAAGGTTTTATCTAGCACAAATAAAAATTGTGAAGATTAATATATCTTACACAGGAGCACGGGGATGTAGATGGGAAGGCCATCACTGAAATATGCAGGAAGACTATGTTTGCTTATTTTATTGTTTCCTGAGGGTTGTTCCCTCCTCCCTTCCACTCCATCGGTACATAAATTATGCTTGTGCTTCCTTACACCCATTGAATACCAAACCTCCCACCACCTTCCTTCTTATGAACATCATGAGTTAGAGGAGCAATAAAAGCCACATTCTTAGGCTACAATAGCAACATTTAGAGGTATTTGTCTTTTCCATTTTCTGACAGATCCATTACCAGTTCATTAGCCTTTAGTGGGTAGAGACATTCAGTAAACAAATGAAAGTAACTCCATTTAAGAGCTAGTGAGCTAAATACAGCTCTCCTGCTCAGCCTGCTAATTACATGGAGTGTTGCGAGTGCACACAGAAACAGAGCCATCCTTTGCTGTGATTTTAGAATATCTCATCTTAAAATTCCTGAAAGCCAAGACACAAAATTGGCTTTCTTTGTCAGTGGCTACAAAGATGTGAAATGGAAAACTAGTCCAGCAGCATTTGTGCTACCCTATCTTGCTGTAGTCCAGAAAATATAGAGAATATATATTCTAAATTCAAAAGATAATTACCTTCCTCTTCCACTCTATTCCCTTGTTGAGGCAACAGACTGCTCCAAGTACTACAAAAGCACAGTAGTTGAAAGGCCAACCTCTTCTTAATTTTAACCTTAAAAATATTGAAAAAATATATGTAGGAGAAGTGGCACATGAAAACCTAGTTTTGATATCTGTGATACAAGTTACTTTGGAATTAAATAGCCCAGTATAAATGCCACCATACCAGGATGCAGCATTACTTGTCCCTCTCTACGTGCTTTTTCTCTATCCTACTACATTAATGTTCCTGTATAGAAACCAGGGAGCCAATAATTTGGACAGTAACTGCCTATAGATAATTACATTAATTAAATTTAAGTTAATCAACACAACAACACTTTACCTTGGCTAGAATAAGGGTAAAAATGACCTTTGCCTTTTCATCTAGCGCAAAGTGAAGAGAAACACCATTTAAAACATAGTAGAAATCCAGAGCCAAGCCCTTATTGCTAAGAGCCATATACTTTTTTGAGTATTTTTCTTACTAGTACTGTTTTTGTGCCACACTGGGGCAATAAGCAGGCTGCATCTCAAAGTTTTAACAAGGAGGCAGGTTCACAGCCTGTTTCCCCCTAAGAAGGCATTGAGAGTAAGGTAGTTACTATCCAGAGCTAATCTAAGCCTGACTCAGAATTAATTAAATGGCAAGAAAAGGCAAGCACTTTTTTAATGTAAGTGTTTTTACTTGGGGTGAAGTTGGAGGCAAAAATGATGATTCAACATGAAGAACCTAAGGTTTTCAGTTATTTCAGAAGACTGAGTAATGTTGGTTCAGATGCTGGCTGCACTTTGACAAAGGATGACGTAAATGTCAGAGAGACACATTTTGGGAAGCTATGTTATTGCAAAGTCCGGTTGAAAGATGCTTTTAAGAAGCTGTTGTCTCTTTTCCTAATTGATCACAGGAAGTGCATCTTCTGGAGAAGCAGTGAGAGCTGGAATCAATGACAGGCTAGTTTAATGCAGCTCTTAACAACAACCTGCAGAGATTAGGAGGCTGTCAGAAAGATAACACCGGAGATTTATAGATTGTTTTCTGAAGCCATTCTCGGCTCTCATGGGTGCTCTGTTATGTTTCTCTATGCTTGGATATGTAATATGTACTCCTCATATAGATCCAAGCAGTAGTTCTCATTTATGGAGAAAATAGCCTTGCACCTTTACGTGCTGCTCGACTCCCAATGCCCTGGGAGAGCAGGAAGACACGTGTCTGGAAGCCAAGCCAGTTAAGTAGTTAGAATGGCTCAGGGAAATCTGAGTTATAGCTGCAGTTCCTTCTGTCTCTTGAGTAGGGCATTATGGGCCTAATTCAGCTCCTGTAACACCACTAAATCGATGGAGCAGCATTATCAACAAATGAGCCCCCTGGGTGCTGAGTCGGGGCTCAGGTGCTGCAGTGTTTGGGTCTGAAGGTCCAGCTCCTGAAAGACACTTGAGTCCTCAGGGAAGGGCTTCCACTCCATCAGGGCAATGAGAGTGTCTCTTTTCTCACATCCACAGCTTGGAAAGAAGTCAGACTGAAGTGCCCCAAGCAGAAGGGGAAATAAAAGGTGCTCTGCTAACACAAGAGGGGAGCAGCACTATTGATTTTTATGGAATTAGGCTGCCCTGAACTATTTGAGGATCTGCTCCCCTTCCCTCTGACAGGACAAACCAATGCTGGGATTGCATTGAGCTTACCCAGCCCCTTTGACTTCTATATAGCAGTCTTTTATAGACCTTTATATATTTATGGGATTTGCCTATTGTGTCTTTAAAGACATTACATGTTTTACCTAATATGACTGAGACAGGACTCTTCATTGTAATTATTCCTGGAGATCATTTCACTTGTCAGTAGCCAGAAGAGTGGAAAGTAAAAATGAATTACCTGAACAGTCACTATTTGAAGAAAGGGCACTATGGTGCAGGCAGAGGAGAAATTCTGGATGTGCAGGGAAAGGTTACTCCCTCAACAGCATATAAATCATAAAGATAAAACCAGTTAACTACTCCTTTATGGAATATTAGGAAGACTTTCCTATGACTTTTGGTTTGTTTTATTATTGTAAATCAGGAGTAGAGAGACCTTAAAGACAGAACTATAATGTATTGGGCAGTCTCAGCCCACAAATTAATCTACACTTTTCTAGCTCCTCATAGGACCTGCCATCATTTTCATAAATAGATGACAAGGACAAAGATGGACAAAGCTAATTAATTCTGTTTCTCATGAGCTGAGTGCAATGTACAAAGTGATGACTTAAAATGAAACCTGAGGAGCTAAAGATGTATAGCAGCTAAAGTGGACCGAGGAAATGCTAAAATATTATAAAACCTGAGAAAATGCTACTAACTTCTGTATTAAATTTGGATTCTGTTTCAATTAGAGAGTACAGGGAAAGGGAAAAGATATATTTTTTTTTTTTTAAATTTAAATCAGAAATGTTAAGCTGAGTTCAGGCACCTAACCAAAGAGCATTTTTAGTGAAACTAGCATTGAAAAGCAACTGGAAGAAAGAGGTGAGTCAGTAATACTCATAACTTAGAGTAAATAAGGAGTCTCATTATGCAGACTAAATGCACAAGACAGTTGTTTCCTCATACTGACAGTAGAGTTAGTTTTAAGGCATGCACCTTACAGGTGGCATTTTGATCTGTGAAATGAACAACACTACAAAGTACTGAAGGATCTAAATCCATGAAGCTAGCTATAGCTTAAAATACAAGTTGTGTGTACCATAATGCACTTCAGAGAAAATGTAATGGAAGATGAAGGTCGTCCCTCCAGCATCCCCCACTTCCTCCTCCTTCCCCCAGCTCCATGGGATATCCCTTTGGTCAGCTATCCCAGCTGTGTGTGTATCCCCACAGCACTGCTTGTGCAGCCCCAGCCTCCTCAGTGGCCAGAGGGGAGGAAAAGCAGAAAAGCTTTCACTCTGCAAACCTTGCACAGCAACAACGAGAACATCCCTGTGCTATCCACTCTGTTTCCAGCACAAATCCAAATCACAGCCCCATAGCAGCTACTACAGAGAAGAGGAGCTCAGAGCAAAACCAGCA